TGGGCCCCTCACCCCAAAAAGGCCATTGAATGACTCGAGCGTGGCCAGAGAAGGGCAACGGAGCTGGTGCAGGGTCTGGAGCACAGGTCTGCTGGGGAGCGGCTGAGGGAACTGGGGGGGTTCAGTCTGGAGAAGAGGAGGCTGAGGGGAGACCTCCTGGCCCTCTGCAACTCCCTGACAGGAGGGTGCAGAGAGGGGGGATGAGTCTCTGGAGCCAAGGACCCAGCGCCAGGCCCAGAGGGAATGGCCTCAAGCTGCCCAGGGCAGGGTCAGGCTGGCTCTGAGGAAGGATTTCTTTGCAGAAGGGGCTGTTGGGCGTTGGAATGGGCTGCCCAGGGCAGGGGGGGAGTCCCCGGGATCCCTGGAGGGGTTGAAGAGTCAGGCTGACCCAGTGCTGGTGGAGTTGGGAACGGTCAGGGGGAGGTTCATGGTTGGGCTGGAGGAGCTTCAAGGGCTTTTCCAATGGAGGTGATTCTGTGAATGCAGCCCCCAGGGCAGCCCCCAGGCGTGCTGTGTAGGTGTATATTGGGCCATATCTGAACCAAGCGGTTTGCGCTGTCGCGCAGGGGCTATAGGCACAGACATGGCGGCACGCCATGTGCCATACAATAATTACACCATCTAGCCACCCGATGCAGGGGTAGTGCAAGTCAGTGAAAAATCTGGCTCACGCACTGCCAGGTCAGCCACTAGTGTTGTGGTAACTAACAGAAGGCACAGCTGAATGAAGCTTGTCCTCCTAGTGAAAGTCACCTTGCTTTCGGTGAGTGGTACAGAAAACTGAAAGGCCAGGCCTATTTTTGTCCCCGGGAGAGGTGAGAGGTGAGATTTGCTTGAAAACACTGGAACCAGATGGCTGAAAAAGTTCAAGTATTTCACTATAGGGAGCTGAATGCTGCTTTTGTGTGTGCCAGCAGCCCTCAGTGGAATTCCCCAGATCTCTGGATTTGCACTAGGATCAAGATAAAGCCTGTTAGCTTCTGCTGCTGTCGGTGTTTGTTTTTCTGACCTTGTAGATGTAATTTTTTTAGGCTTCACAAGAGCCCAGAAGAAGAGCCACACATCCTGCTGGAGTATGACAGCAGCGTGCTGGATGCCATACAAAAACATCTGAAATTGTACAAGATCCGGAGGAAAGTAAACATCACCCCTTGCCTTGACCTTGCTTTGTGGGCTGTCATCCCTGGGGAGCAGGCTGAAGACATTGCCAGTTCCCTCGCTAAATGTGTAGACCAGGCTCTGATTTTAACTCCTGACCCCAGAACAGAAGTCATGGGCTGGCGACTGATTACAAAGAAAGGAGCAGATCCATCAGAGATTATCCCAGGGAGTCATATTGGAAATATTCAGGATTACCACAGGCACAGGTATAAACAAGGTAAAGCCAAGTCCTGTTTTAACACGGTGTCACTGGATTTTTGGGAAATGTATTTATGTATTATCACAGTTTCATCTTATTATCAGAGTCCATATGCTGATATAAGACAGCAGAATAAATTATAAAAACTGCACTGGTACCTCTAAATGTGTTTAACTTGTTAATAAGTTGCTACTTTGAGGATAAAAGTGATCTGGTAGTCATAGTTCTGTCTGGTGGCAGAATCAGTATTTCATACAGTCTCTACAGAGCAGTGGGTCAGGAACACTAATAGCAAAGAAAGAGAGGATTATTAACTTTCTGAGAGGGAATCTTCTGTGGTTTGAGTAATTTTATTTTAGGATTACATAATCTGTGTGTTTTCCTTGTTGCTAAGGAAAGAAAAGGAAGCACCCTAACGTACTTTCCTAATAATGTATGACTGGATTTGCAGAGTTAACTCAGAGGCCAAGGGGCAGGTGTTTGATGGGAGCCCCTGTACTTGCACAGAGCTCCCACTGATTTTACTGTGCCCACGCGGACAGTGGATTAAATTAATTGGCAGACTGAAAGATGATGGTCTTCTGCTTAAACCTGAGTCCATCTGGTTTGGAAAAGGAAGCTGTTAACGAGTCAGACTGGGCTGGACTGCAGGGATGTGCCACCTCCCTGAAACACCAGCATTTATCTTACTGTGCTGCTGCGGAAGTCTGACTCCAATGCTCGGCTTCAAAGAAAGACTGTTTTTGTGTCATTGGTCACAAAAGGAATAACTGCTTACACAGACATTCAGAATTTGGGCTTTAACAAAGACAGTTGTCCAGCTTACGTTCTTTAGTCTTGAAGAAAATAACTCATATTGACATAGTAATGTCTGTGGGGTGTGGGTGAGAAGGATTTTGCCATTGGCATTACATGTATGTTGATGCCTTTGTATGGTAGTCTGCATCATTTTGGGGGCATTGAATTTCCGCTGGTGTGCTTGTGAGGTGCTGTAAACTTCATGAAATTAGGCTCTAGTGTACCCTTAACAGCAAACATCATTTATGGCTAATGGTTTCACTCAGGCACAAACTGGATACTGGGAAGTTTGTTATTTCACACTGTTTCTTAGGCATTCTCTCGGTTTTACAAGTCACAGAGGAGGCATATTCCAGAAATCTTAAATACTGAAGATCTTACCACATTTACTTACCAAAGATCGTACCATTGGTTTTACTTTTCTCCTAGGAATTCCCGAAGGTGTGAAAGATCTCCCTCCTGGAGTAGCCCTCCCGCTGGAATCCAACCTGGCCTACATGAATGGTATCAGCTTCACCAAAGGCTGTTACATTGGACAGGAGCTGACGGCCAGGACCCACCACATGGGCGTCATTCGCAAACGTCTGCTGCCAGTCCACTTCTCAGCTCCTTTTCCCAAGGACAGCATTCCCGAGGGTGCCGAGATCTTAACTGAATCGGGAAAATCAGCCGGCAAGTTCCGGGCTGGTGGAGGTGAACTTGGTATAGCTTTGCTGAGGTTAGCTAATATAAATGAACCGCTCTGCCTAAATGTAGCGGGTGATAAAGTGAAGCTCACTGCGAGTATACCTGAGTGGTGGCCAAAACCTGCCAGTAAATAAATAAGGAACCACCACTTGCACATTTGCCTTACTGAGAATATATTTTGTGTGATATGTCGGGGAAGGTGACTCTGCCTTCGGCTGTTGTTTGTGGTGTTCGATATGGTGGGGATATTACAGGTTTCTTCAAATCAGGACTAAGCAGGAGCCCAAACCAGCGGCAGGTCACTGAGGATAATCTCTTAAGTGTTGTGGAGAGACCTGTGCAGGGTAGGCAGGGAAGCACACCTGTTTTTTGAGAGTGCCCTGTATTTATTGAGGGAGTGCCATGTGGCTTTTGCTGAATTTTCAGTCCACCGCTCGCTGAAAGAGATGTGCTCTGAGGTGTGTGTTCAGACTGAAGCAAACAATGGGAGCAGGAGTCTCACCATTGCATGCACTGATGTTTCTGTTCAGAATAACCATTCTGTGGTATTGTGTTTTTTTTTTAATGGAGGGCATGCCGCTCTTACCTTGCATAGTGTTCACTGCAAATAGCTCCTTGCATTGAGCTGCTTCTTAAACTTGCTGATTGGGTGGTTTTTTTTCCCACCACTCTAACTGCTAACTGTGTTCAGGAAAAGGAATACCTTGTGCTCCACATTCCAGACCTTGATTTTACTAAGTCATCCCTGGTGGGAAAGCTCCCAGACATCCCGGTCCCCCGCTTCAGCACCGGCAGAGGGAGCACAGCCAGCAGCTGCCAGCTCCTCCGCTGCTCCTGACCTCGGTCGTTCACGCTTCCTTCGCTCCAACTGTTTCAGAGAGGAGAGGGGTATTTTACCGAAACAAGGTGCACTGGTGCGTGCCCTGGTGTGACTATTGTGCTGGTGCCTGGCAGCATAATCTCTGGCTAGAAGCACATGCCCTCCGGTTGCCAACAACAGTGGAGTGGTGGATATTTTTTGGCATCAACATCTTTGCTTTGTCATCTTGTAGAAAAATCTGCCCCAATTTCCTGAAGCCTTCCGAAGCAGGGGTTACTTCAAACTTCAATCCCTCCACCAAAATGACAGCATGTCCCCATCGCTGACCTTTGCTACAACCCCCAGTGGGAAGCTGCACTCCCTGGAGAAGGGGTTAATGCCACACGTGCTTTTGGCTGAGCCTGCCTCAGGGAGTGTTTTCACCACAGTCGTTTCTCAGTGACACTTGTGAGAGAGATGAGAGCTCTCTGTACCCCTCGTACCTCCTACCGTCTCTAGTTGAGATTTTCTCCATCCACCATCCCCTGGGGGTTTTCAGAGCAGGCCAGTACTTCAGGGTTTCTTTGCTACTTTTTTCTGGCTCCTGCTGCTCTTCTGTCTTCGCTTTTTCTTGCTTCTACAGTTCCTCTTTGCCCTCCCAAAGTCAACCAGCTCTATGCCTCCTAACCCTGTCAACCCGCAGTAATTTACAGGAGCCCTGTGTATTTTTGTAGCATGGTAAATCGGTTGCACGCCCGCTCTCGGAATGGCACGTGTGTGGAAGGGCACACAACAAGAGAGGTGAGCAGGTGAGATCCCATGCAGACCAAAGAAAAACCTCTTGCATGCATATTTGTGACAAAAACCGTCCAAAGCACATTCTGCCACTGTGTTGCTGTTACTGTGAAAGGAATTTATCTGTGAAAAATTCTGATGTTAGTTAAAATTCTTTATGCTTGCTGTAAAATGAGTTTGTGGAATATCTCATTAAAAGTTTATTGTATCGGTAATTTAAATGGCACTTGTCTGAAAGAGAAGAGATGCTACTTTTTATTTACTTTGTGTGAAGATTACTTTTTTGGATTGCTTGCTGACAAGAAGTCATGGCACTGTTTATCACCCCTTTGTTGGGTTTGAGATTGTTAACGAAGTCTTTCTGCTGGAAAAATAAATGAAACTGCAGTACTTCACCTTTTCTGGATCCTCCGAACGTGACAAAGGCAAGACTGTGCTGCCCGTGTTGATGCTGCTTTGCCAGTAGCAGCTTTTCCTCTCTGCCACCCATTGTGCAAAGTCTCCTCAGTGTAGTTATACTGTACTGGCATGCACGCAGCCTGAATAAACACTACGTTTTTTCTGTCAGGGCAAGCCCTGCATCTCTTTTTTTTTTCTGGTGGACACACATTTCTTTTGTCTCTTCATTTATATGAAAGGCCTTTCTGTTGCTAACAGCTGCAGGTTACAAATGCGGGTGGTTAGACACAAAATAAGGTGGGTACTAAAAGAGGTGCTAGATCACTTCTGGAGAAAATATGTGGCAGAAATTGGAGAGGGCAGCCCAAATCCCCGTTATCCTTTTATTTTTTATTCTCCCTCACAGATTGCTCCATCATTTTTAGTCTGGATGAGGTTGGAAAGCCGCGCTGTGCTGGTACGAGATTGATTTTGCAGGGGTGTTCGCCACGCTGACGATCTATGACAAAGCAAATCTCCTCCAGCCACGGTGGGACGGAGTGAAGCAGAGGAGGAACTCTGCTCCACCGCCCACCATGCCACCGCGGCGCCAGCCAAAAAAGGGGCAAATGACCACCCACCTGTGCGTCACATCAGCCGAAGGGCTGAAATGTCCTCACCGGCACTTCTAACAACCCATTTCTGCAGGAAGGAGGAAATGCTGAGAAAGTAGAACAGCCAGCACCAGGCCCACACAACCCCTCGGCCGCCCCGGGAGGGAAACGGAGACGTTTTTATGGTGCGATTCTGTCAGGTTTTTGTGATTTCCTCAGCACGGGATGAACACAGCGACTGCGGGGGGCTGTCAGGTCGCCTGCCCAGGTGTTTATCGCAGGCTAAATACAGCTTCTTCCGAGTGCTCCCCCCCGGCCCCGCCGCTGCGGGGAGTGGGAGTAG